GCTTTTCTTGCAGTGGAGGTGTGAATATGGATTCTTTGGAAGGACATGGACAGACTTAGTCAGAATTGATTTAGTGCGAAGGAGAGCGTTATAAGGGTTTCTTTAATGTCCATGGAACTTTGAATCATCTGTAAAAGCTCTTCGCATCTGTTTTTTGAAGTTGTGTTTCACATTTTCTAAAAGCACCTGACACTGAATCTTTTAATAATGCATAATTATCTTAGTAATTTATGATAATTGTCTCTGTCATGACCATCTCGTTGAACACCTAAAGGCAGAGTGTGACAAAAGAATACTAATCATTTTATTACTTCAGAAGATAAATTTAAGATGATCAGCTGTCAAACAAACCTTTATTTTGTTTGAATATCAAAGTCAGTTGTACTGGTGCTAGTCGCCTTGCCTGCAGAAGGGTATTGTTTTGAGCACTGCTGTAACAGGGCTTTTTTCCTCCTTAGTTTCTTACTGTTCTTTAGAACTTTAAATGAAAGGCTCATGACTAAGAATGAGAACTGTACAAAGCCACGAGGGAAAGACGTGAGCAAGCTACATGTATGGTGAAATTAAAAGCATATAAAGCTTCATTAGGATGTGTTGTATTAAGCAAGAGATGCCTTATACTTATTTGGACTTTAAATCAACAGCAGATAAAAACTCCTTGGCTTTTATTGTGCTATGTTGAGGCCATTTTTTTTCCTCACCTTTTTGAAGGGAACTGGGAAAACTGCACCAACAGAACATCTGTAATAATACAGGGACCACAGCTAGTTTAGAATGTGTATTCTTAAGAGAGAACAGTAGGTTCTCAAGGCATGAGGACTTTGTGGTATATGAAGTGTCTTCCTATTATGTAGCATCATGTTCAGAGTTATAAACGCTAGACTGTTCTCACTGTCTTAGCCTGCATAGTTAGCTTACTTCTATTTCCCAGAAAACAATTTATTTTCATTTAACTGTAGTAAGTTAAAATACTTAGTCTGTCATCTCAAAAAAAAAAAAAAAAAAAAAAAATAGTTGATTCACTTTTATTTTTTTTTAAAGGAGCAGAAGTAAGAATGTACTGCAGCAGAACTACATAGCTGTTTAAAGTAAAAAGATTTGGAGCATTCACCCACCAAAAGCTGGTTTGCTCTTCATAACTACAACTTTATCTTGCTGTACTACAAACCAGTTTTGAATTGAGTGATCACAGTACTTGTCATTTCCCCAGGTTCTATTTTTCTTTCAAAGCCCATGTTGGAAAGTACATTGTACAAGTGTATGTAATGAATCTAATAACCCTTGAACTTAATTGCAAAATACCACTTTTCTGACACCTTTTTCTATGTTTTAAAGGAATTTTAAGATTTGGATTGAATATTTTTTGCCTGTGTTTACTCATGCTATGTAAATTATGCATGTCTGCTTTAAAAGCATATCTCTGATACATCTTGCTTTGGGAAGAAGTTCACTATGTATGTAACATTTTTTCTTAGTGTGAAAGAACTTCATAATTCACTAGCAGTCTTTAAAAAAAATTCAATTTGGATATTGGAGGGTACATTCTGTCTCTAGTGTCACCATTACAAATTAGCAGAGAGCGCATCATCTACATGTAGATGTACAATTTGGTGAGATACTAGGACCTCAGGGTCATAGTATCCCATTTCCTTTTCATTTTTGTCAAAAACTGTAACTGCTGCAGTTTATTTGTAAAATGTCTTACTATTTTTGACAGTCTCTGATTTTTACAAATCAATATTTATGTGGTCCTTTCCTTATCCTTTCCTTCCCTGCTCCTGTATTTCTACTTTCTGCAGTGTGTTGGTGCTATTTCTTACCTGATTCCACAGTGAGCTATTCTAGAGCTAAATCAGCTGATGGGAGCCGTGCACTTCTGAGGAGGAGGGAAGGAAATGGAAATGCTTTTAGGCAGCTCAGCATCCTGAATCACCTCACCAGGTGGTCACCTTTAGTTGAACCCCACAGCCTATGTCACTTCAAAATAAGTGTCATATTGTAAAGCTATAGTTTTATAGAGCCATATAAAACGGATTTTATTAAAATATTAGTTTAAAAATACTGATTTAAGGAGTTGAAAATTTACAAAAGCACACAAACTTAAAATTTAGTTTCAGACATCTGTGCTTAAGACAAATGTAATCATACTAATTTATAGGACTAATATGTTTATATCTCATCTAGTCCAGTATTCATAAGATGGATATCACTGTCTGAAAAACTTTTGGAGGGTGGATACCGCAATAATTTGAGATTTAGGTAGGATTAAGAATGGCCCCTCAGACTCCTTGTCTTCAGGATTTTTCTTGAAAAAATGTACTTTAAAAATATTTTTTTTCTTAAAATGCTGCTATAAATTTCCAACAGATTTTTATTTTATCTTACAAATAGTTTAACTATTTGATTTTCAAATATGTTACACAGAATTGAAGAGAAATTGCAACTGAAAACATGAGCCTATAATAAAAATTTCATTAATGGACCTATAGGTTCTGGTCAAAGGAATTGGGGAAACTGTGTCCTTCTAATATGGAATATGTATCATACTATTTTCAGTTGCAGGGGCAAAGGTATATTGTTTGATGCACATTTACCTTCTCTTCATTCTTTGATTGTACTGAATTATTTTAATCAATTCTTACTCTTAAACTTGTAATTTATCTAGAACACTGGCATCTGTAAGGTGATGGCTTCATATCTAATTATGTGAAAGTTCCATCCTTCTTACTGCCCTATAGTTTCATTGTTCTTCAAAGCTACATAGGTTGTTCTTGTCAATATACTGCAGTATTGCTGATCATTAATTACCTAGGCTATCAAACTGAGTTATCAGCATAACAAGATGAATGTTTGCAATTTAAGTAGAATCAAACATTCTATATTCTCCTCTGCTCCATAGCATAATTTATAATGAAAAAAATCCTTGTCCTTGTCCCTTTCTAACAAAGACCAAGAAAAGTAGTTAGTGTTTGAAGGTTCTTTGTCCTCATGCATTATTGAAAATCATCTAAAATTACTTTAGACTGAAACTTCTGTAGAAATGTGATTAGAAGGTTAGGGCTTAATTTGAATTTTATATTTCACAAAACACCTACAGCTCTGCAACTTAATTCTGTTCTAGCAAAGCCTTCAATATTTCCATAGTTTTAAATTTGCAAATTAAACAATTTCTCCCATGTTAAGTTTAGAAAAAGCCTGCAGTCTAAACAGTATTTTATTCTAGTTCATGTAAGCAAAAATTGAAGTGAGTAACATGTTTTAATTGTTGTTCTTGAATGATGCAGAAAGAAAACAAACAGCTTTAAAAGTTGGTGCTGATTTCAAATGGGTCAAATTAAATAGTTGCTGTGTTAATCTCTGATCAATGGTAATTTCTTTTTCCATCCCTATGGCTGCAAACTTACTGGATTTCTACCACCTGGGCTACTCAGCATCCTGAATTATTTATTCTTGATAACAGAGCTGCCGTGATCATTTGGGAGGGGTTTAGTGCTGAGGTAAAATAATCCATGAGGCAGATGGGATGTAGAAAGCCACTAAAGGTGACTGGCTTTATCACTTGGAGATATTTGGGGAAGTCTGATATTTTCATCACTCCTCCTCCTCCTCCTAACCCTACTTTCCATCTTCTGACTTCCTTATGCAATAAGAGAGGGACCTAGAAAACTTAACTATGCACAGACATAGATATACAGAGATAGATATATATATATATGTGTGTGTGTATGTATATATATACATATATATATATACACACACACTAAAAGGAGGTTCAGCTTAATAGAAGCATAATTTGGCAGGCTGAGAAAGTGTTTCTTATAGTACGGTTAACTGTGGTCCATAGTATATTGAATGAAATGAAATTAGATAGAGATTCGGTGATTTTGGCAAATGATCTAGTTTTTGAATATTAACTAAGGAGATTTTGCCAAGCAACTTCACAAAATCTCCTTAAAATATTAATACCAAGCTCCTCAGAACTGTGTTGGCTAAGTGACCATTTGAAAAGATGAATTTTTTATTATTGTGTGAGCTTTGATTTCATAGCCTGGAAAAGCAAAATCCCTGGAATTTTCCTGGTCTGGGACATACCATCTCTCTAGCAAGTCAACTTTGGTTATAATCAGGACTGGCAGTGGTAGGCATTAGTGCAGCAATTGTAGCTGCTGCGTTTTGGCTGCTAACATTCAACTACTCCTCTGTTCTTCCCTCCCAGCCCATGCAAGGTAACTTGTGGTGGCTGATCTTTTGGTAGGAGGGCATTGTATTTCTGATTATGCTAGTCAGGGCTGCAGAGTCAAAATGTGAACATAGGGGTTTCTAGAGTAGATAATGAGCAGTAAATTGATTTCTTTCTATTATATGCTCTGTGTGTCAGAATTCTAGATGCAAATAGATATTGCTTGTGTAAACATTAAAAGGTCATTATTCTACTAAAGGTTTTGGAAATACATGGATTAAAGGCACTTCAAGAACACTTTTGAAAACCTGTAAATTACTCAGATTTGCCTAATTCTGTAAGCATGGAATTTACTAGCCATTGTGTTAGTCAACTTTCCAGTGTTGTTCTTTATCTTATGTTTTAGATTAACGTACATGTGAACTCATGACAGCACATGAGTTTAAAACTAGTTCAGAAAATTAAATAAGTTTGTATGGCAGACTTGTGATTGTAGATTTATATTAAAGGTAATTTTCTTCTCAAGTAAGCATGGGGATTGAGTAAATTAATAAGCACTTATTCTTCTAAATATATCACATGATCATCAGAAATAAAACTTTATATTATTGGTCAAGATGCGTATACATCAACAAAGACAACCTTCAAATGAAAGACCCAAATTAGATGATTAGGTTAAGGATTTTGAAAAGATCTGGTTTATCTTGAGAATTTCTCACATTTAAAAAAAATACTAAATTAATCATAGCTGATTGTCCTTGCAAACAGGGTTTCTAATTTTGCAAATACAAAGCTGACTGTCTTTTTCTCTCTTTGACAGATGGGGATGGACAAAGTGAACACTTATTACCAGTCTGTGAAGATGAAAAATGTCAAAAAAGTGCCATCTACTTAACTAAGCTAGGATTGGATCAGGTATTGTCAGTTTGGAATTGCAAGCACAAAGGAAAATACTGTGCTTTATGAAATACTATGAAATAGGAAAATGATTTTTCAGGAAAGACAAATGCAACTTCCTCACCTGTAATTATTGCATTTAAGAGACTTCTATTTATTTACTTATCTATTACCTGTCTAAAAATATATGGGCTTGGTGGGAGAGGTTGCATATCTAGAATTCTATATAATGGATAATTCTGCTAAAGAAAATTGTAGATGTTTCTAATGAGTCACTTTCTTGATTTCAAAACACTGCTACTTGAGAGTAGCGGATGACTGGGCAGTGTGCTAAAAGAAAGGTTATATTATCTTTTGTTCATGGTATGTTTCTAGAAGGAAGTGATGCAGTAGTGGATCAGTTTGCATAATATCTGAATTTTTCTGAAGTAGTGTCTTTTATTGTAACCTGCTCTGAAGTTACATTGTACATAGACAGTTTTTCTGTTCCTTCATAATTTCATTTTTTTATAGAGATCAACTATTTAATTACAAATACATCAGATTTTTAACATACCACTTCTGATACTTATCATATTTAATTTTTATATTTAATTTAGCAATCTCACTGTGTAGTTTCAATTTTAAAATAATTTCCGAGATGACATTTGAGTTAAAAATTATCAGACAAATATTGTGATTTTTTTTTTAAAAAGTGAAGAAGCAAACAGATTCTCATCCTGCTAGAAAAAAGTATTGAGAAGTATTAAGAGTTACCTAGACACTTTAAAGCTATTTTCCCTTCATATAATGAGCCCTTGTGATGCAGAATATGTCTCAACAAGGGGATGGTATCCCTTGTGGAACAGGTAGGTAATTATAGGGAGTCTGTGGGAGCCTGAGAGATTGCAAGTCTATTATTGAAAAAGTAGAAGATGCTATATATCCATTATCTCTGCTCAGTTTTTGCTGTAGAGTTTTATGTGGGGTTTGTTGGGGTTTTTTTTTAGTGTTAAGAGTGTAGCTAAGAATTCTGGTTTCCAGAATTTTTTATATTTTTTTTTAAAGAAATTTGCTGATCTCGGATCTGAAACATCACAAATTAGATGACTGTCTTACAAAAAATATTTTGCCTACAGCAACTAGACCTCAATCTGTCCTTCCTGCTTGTTTGTTGTGATGTTTGATGAAACCAAATGAAAAGCAGTTAACACAGTTCCATGACAGTGTATGATGCATTGGGGATGAAATGTATAGCAGTCAGAAATAAGCACCTGTAGAATTCGTGGTTCTAAAAATTACGCTGCGGAGAGGCATGCAATGGCATGTCAGGCTTTGGATTTGTTCTGGTAAGATCTCATTTGATGTCTGTCCATCTACAGTGTATTTCTCATTACGTCATTGGCACAGCTGGATGGCTACTGGAAAGCAAAGCAGATCTAGGAGAATTATTTCAAGGATGATCTTTCACCATAGGTTTTAATTTATGATTTAATCTTCATAAGTATTAGAAATATCTCAGATAAACTTCCTCCATTTGGATGATGGAGCAAAAGTAAAGGCCAACAAATACATAAGAGTGACTTAAGGAGATATCAGACCTACTAAAATTTTAAAAGAATGTGAATGTTTCCATAGCAACGTAAGAATTGCTGTCAGATCTGAAGTAGAATCCTGTTTCAGATTGTGGCAGGTGTTAGGACACCTCCGACTTTAAATTTGCCTGCAGTAGCTACAGCCTAGTCTGCTAGCTGATTTAGAGCTCTCATTTCGATTCTGAAAATCAGACTGAGTTCTCCCTGAAATTTTGAAGTCCCTAGTACTGTTAATTGTAGAAACTCTAGATATTATGATGATCTTAGAGATGACTAATCTTTCAAGTTTCTTTGTGGGCTTGATGATTCTTACAACCTTTCTCAGTACAACAGAAAGGTTACAGCTTTACTCCTCTTGCAAATCTAGCAGCTCTGAAGTAGAACACAGCAGTGCATCCTACAGCAAACTACAGGTTTTTGTGGAATCACTCTTTGGGCAAGAGAGATATCTGACAGCATTGATTATCGGCTGCGGTTGGGTCACTGTTAGAAGTTTTTCCTTGTTCCTCTATAACGGTTTAAAGGGGTGAGGGGGCAGATTGCAGCTGCTGCAGTTTTTACAAATCTTAGATTCTACAAGATCCTCTTGTCATTTCTGAGTTGCTCATCTTTCTCAAAGCAGCTTTGGGGCTGTGAGCCACATTCCAGCACTGAAAATAGGAATTTTAATTTCTTTGGTTACTTTTTTCTGTGTTGTTAAATCAATGTTGGGGGTTGTCATCTTCTGGGCTTTGAACATTGTTAAGTTAATGGTGTAATGTATAGGTAATTTACTTAGTTTATTTTTGTGCAGTAGTGGCTACTCAACTATATTCAGAATTTGGGTGACCTTCGTACACAATGAAAACCTAATACATCCTGAAATCATGGGATTTATTTTTTATGTGCAGCTGAACTATAATGCATAACGCTAGAGGGGGAGCCCTCAGGGAAAAGGACTTCTGTTGCTGTGGCCAGTTCTTTCAGGCCACTCTTTATATTCATCTTTTTATAGGATAGGGTAGTGTTTCTTATAGAAAGGAGTAGAAACCCTGGAATTTCCAGAAAAGGTATTGGCCAAGAATGGGCTACCAATTCCCAAATGCTTTCTGGTTCACAGCTGGCTCCCTGCCTGTGTTAGGTGGCTTGGAAGCAGGCAGCTGGCTGGGTAAGGTTTTTGGGCTTCACAGGTTTCCAGCCATAGTTTAAAAATTGAGCTATGTTAACCTCACAGTTTAGGCGTAAAGACCTGCTAAGTGCCTTTCCTAATGTATAGAAGAATGTGTACCCTGAGAGAACCGAGCACTTTTTGAGTTAAGTAGGGTGAGTACAACTAGTTCTAAATTTTTCATAAGTACTCAAGATCTTTTTCAAAATGAAAAATACACTGTTTTCACAGGGCAATAAAGTATTCTCACTTCAACTTGTGGAAAAACAATTTTTTTAAGACTCTGAAAACAATTTTTTAAGCACTTAAGCTATTTTTCTTATTTTTGTCTACAAAATCATTAATTGAAGGAGTAAAAGTATCTATATAAATGTTTTAAGTAATTATATTGGTGGTGCTATGGAATGGAATTTAACAGAAAGGGAAGTAAATCTTTGATTTGTCTGAATTTTTTTAAGTTAAATTTTTATTTAGATACTCATTCAGTTTTTTAATCTATTTTTTCACCTGAACTAGGTAACAGAAATCATATGATCAGAAAACTGCAAAAAATAGCTTTATGTGACCCTACTATACCCACTTATTTCTATCTTAGAGTAAAAGGAAAAAAAATAGTTTTAGTCTTTTTCCCCTATTAAAATAGCAACAGCAAACATGAAGCTTAAAGTAATTGTCTGGATTTTCAAATAGAAAAGAAGTAGGAGGCATACTATTTACAAACATATTTTCATTTTTTGCCTTCTGTACTGAAATATGTCCCCTGAGGTATATGCACAATTAATCTTGCATTGCATTACACAATACTGCTGTTTATAATAAAAATATACAGAGTAAGTTTCACCAAAAGTGTGAGTTACTCTGAATTTAAACTGTCAAAGCTACCTGTGGTGCTAGAATATGCTCTGCTTACACATTGAACGAGACTGATGTTTTTGAAATGTACTGTAACTACTGTTATAAAAAGTCCCACAACTGCTTCAGTGGGATGGATAAATCTTACTCGCTAGTGTGCACAGTGATGATGCTTGGTAGCAATAGGTGATGTTTCTGCTTTGCTCACCTATTGTTTTATTTTATAAATACGTAAAATTATTATATTTCATATATAATATGATGTTATATATATATAATATGTATATTATATTTATAAAAAACTAAACCAAATTATATATCTGGTTTATATCTTTGCATTTCATTGTAGACCTTATGATTGTAAAATTGCTTTCTATGAATCACTCTGAGTAGAGTAAAAACAGAATACAAATTCAGATTCCTGGCTAAAAATCTTAATTTTGTTTCTTTAAAATAGTGTTACCATACATGGGAACATTTAGAAGGTATATGATAGATATAATTTGATTTCATGGCAATGACTGTGTGAATGATACCGTGTAAAGTAAAAACTGTATTATATTTCATGGTTCTGATTTCAATCAGTGGTTTTCAAAATTACAGTGTTTTGCAGTAATATTGTTTTATCTGTCTTCTGCATGATAAATAAGTGCTAAGAAATGTAACCCTTTGAAAAATTTCCCTCAAGATGAGTGTCTTTTTCTTATTTTCTAATTTTTAGCTTTTTCCAAACCTTCAGCAGCTAACAGGAACTAAATAGGCATGCATCTGCTGGGCAGGGTGAGGGTCAAAGTATAGCTTATTTCAACTTTGAGTTTTCATCAGGAATGCTGTAGATCATGTTGCAGTTCAGATATCTCCCACAGGCCAACTTGCACTAAGTATATGCAGCGTCTGGCAGAACCATTCCAAGTTTCTAAGCCATCTGTGATATCCAAACAAAGTTGACCTTAGTGCACTTCTTTAATATTTTGGGGGTCTCTCTTAGTATGCACGTGGTCACATGTAATCTCAAGGGACCAGCTCATCACGTGTCACATGCAATTGCCATGTGGCCGGAATGTTGTTGATTACTGGATTGTGTTAGTGAGGGAGTCTTTCCCCAGCAGGAAATGATGTTGTCAGGGATTTCATTCTGGTTCCTGAAATAGCAAAATTAAGGCCTGGATATGAGACATTTAAGATGCTGTTAAGTGCTTTTGATGTTAGTGACAGTGATCCTTTAAGATGTAACCCTTCTGTCCTTCTGAAGGCAATGTCAGTTAGTTGACATATGAAATTACTTCTGGCTTTAAAAATGGCACTAAATTTTTCTGTAGCATTGAAATGTTAACCCTGGTACTTCAGCTTCATATCACTTGTGGAAATTACTTTGATTTCAATTAAGATAAATTCCTGTTTAGCACCTCTGTAGCACTTTGGAAGCTAAGAGCAGATACATCCTATTTCTTGTCCTGGAGAAATTATATTTTGCATTTCTTTTGTACTTTCAATTTAATACTGTAATCTTAATTTCTTATCAAACTGTTCAGTATCTGTTGCTGCTGGGGAGATAGGAGGGGAATTGAAGCTCTTGAACTTCTAAATATCCATAAGTAATAGACTCATTCAAGCTGAAATGAACCTTAGGAGATCTAACCTCCTGCTTTAAGCTGAATTCAGACCATGTTTAGAGCTTTGTCCAGTCAGACTTTGAAGACCCTCAAGGACAAAGATTCTGCAAATTCTCTGGGCCTCTTTCCCAGTTTAATTTTCATCGTCATAGTGAATTTTTGTTTGCTTGTTTATCTCTAGTTGGAACCTCCCTTGTGTCAGTCTGTGACCACTGTCTATTGTTCTTCTGCTGTGTATCACAGCAGAGGGCCTGGCTCCATCTTCTGTTGTCTCCTTGCAGGTATTGGAAGACCACTATTAGATTGCCCCTGAGTCTTGTATTCTCCAGCCTGAACAAGCCCTGTGCCCTCAGCCTGTCCTTTGAGTAAATACTCAATGCCTGCCCATCTTGGTGACCCTTCTCAAAACACAATATTCTCAAATATTTCTTGAACCATGGGGCACAAAACTGGACACAGAATCCAGATGCAGACTAACAAGTGCTGAATAAAGAGAAATAATCCTACTGCCTCAATCGGCAGGATCTTAGGCAGCAGCAGTTACAGTGCAGTTTGCTGTCATAGCTGCCACACTCAGCTTGAGCTTAATGTCCACCAAGACCCACACATCTTTTTTACCCTGTACCATTGCAAGGGCTGACACCCCTCTGCAAGACTTCTTGATTATTGTGGGATCCCTGTTTGCCCATTCTTGCCTTTCTAGGTCCCCTCTGAATGGCCATCCTGTCCTGAAGCCCATTGGTTGTATCCCCCAATTTGGTGTTCGCCACGAATCTAATGAGGGTGCATCCCTCCTCCAGCTTGAATGCTGCCTATTGCTTGCAATTCCAGGAAAAACACAGGGACTCAGGATCTCAAGGTCCTGATGGTTTGGGCTTATGTACACTTAAGGATTAATACAGATTCGAGGCAAGCATGAATTTTGGTGAAGTTGTTCCTGAATAGCTCCATACACTGGACACATTCCAAAACATAGGTCCTTTATTCTTACAACCTTGGGTTTTGGGTTGGTTTTTTTTTTCCTGTTCTGGAATAATTTAGTGGATAGAAAATATTTCAAATTAGTTCTTTCATTTGGTGACAGACTTAAAAAATAATCCTTATTTCCTTTTTGGAAATTTGTAAATGATTAAGGATCCTGATGCAGTGAAGAGATGTCAGCTGTTTTAAAAATTATTAGGTTGTTTTAATAAATAAAATGAATTTTCTTACCTAGCTGTTCCTTTTTTGTTTTATTTTACAGTGGATTCCAGTCTTGCAAGACTTCCGAAATAAAGACACACTCTGGGGCTTTGTACCATCTCAAAATGACAAATCTTCAATGGAAATTTCATTTCCAATTACACTTCATATTGGAGATTACAATATGGATGGCTACCCAGATGCTCTTGCTATACTACAGAACACATCTGGAAGGTAGAGCATGTATAAACCTAAAAATAAAGACTATCAAATGCATGTTCAATCATCAATCATACACTAATTTTACATTACTAATTTTAGTGCATCTCATTCATTTTATCAAGTGAACAAGAATTTTGATCACTGCTAAATGTTTCCCTTTTTAGAAAGGTATGCATTTACATGGTATATTCAGAATGCATATTTGTATAGGCTCAAAACTGTGACTCTTGGAGGGGAATTGCATGAGGCAGTGGAGTATGAAGTACCATTTGCTGATTCTCTCCCTTTCCTTTCCCAAATCATCTTCTGTAAAATCCTGACTTCAGCTTTCAGTGTTGGCTAGTAACACCAGGCTGCTAAGAGTTGGGGAACCTGTTCTGTGCTGTCAGATGGAGTGAACACTGACTGGTGACTCTGCCAAAAAATGCACTAGTGTATTTTACCCCTTTTCAGAACCAGGAATTTTAGATACACCTAACAATTTACCAGTGATTTTTGTATTGTCCAGATTTAACTGAAATAAATAAACTTCTAATCTCCCTTTTTCTTAAAAAAAAAAATTTAAAAATTGCCAGTGTACTCTTTCTCCTCCTTTCCCCCCCCCCCCCCCCCGCCCCTTCATTACCTGCTTTCCCGATACTTTTTATTGCTACCATCTGGTGTTAGGTGGGAGAGGGCATGTAATGATGCTTACAGGGAGACTCTTGTACATTGAGTAGTAAGCGATCCACATAACAGTTGACCTGAGTAGGTGCACGTCTGTGCTGTTCTGCATGTATCACTTGGCTGCAGGATAAACTTATCCAGCTAATCGTAACGGAGGAGCCTGTAGGCAGCTCTCACTTGGCACCTGGTGATGGTACCACTGGCATGTCCTTGTCTTTACCTTGAAGTGAAGCAGCATGTTTTTGTGTGAACTTTCTTTCACTTGACAGTAGAAATGATGGATAGACTTGTTTACTTCTAAGAAAAACCTAAAAGAGCTCTAGAGATCATAGTGCTAGTGAACCTCACTACAGGCAGGATATGCACAGCATGCCATGCTCTGACTAGAGGTCTGTCTGATGCTGCACAACTTGGGTTTTCCAGCATCTGAAGAGATGTAAGATTATCTATACTATCCCTTTTTCTTCCTTGTGTCATTGCTTGTAAAAGGTGTTCTAATCAATACTTTATGGAATATCAACATCTTCCTTACTGGAATCTATGACAAATACTTGCACTAGAGCATTACAAGGCAATATAGGTCTCTCTTACAAGTGTATTTATTCTCTTTCTCTGTGTCATATTTTGGATGAACTTGGGTGCAGGTCCATAGTTTGAATTAATACTTAGTAAGGAAAAGAACTGAGGAGCTCACTTTGGTGCTTAAAACAATATATAGACAGAATTAAGATGCGAAGTCAAAGAAGTCAATTCAGATCTTCTAGTGGTTGCCTAAACGTGAGTCACCCGCTGACATTTTTGTGTTAGAGTTCTCACATACTGACACATACCTAAAAATGACCCGGTTTGAAGAGTTACATGCTTGTATTCAGCCTATGTGATGTGATTCAGAGGCAAGGCAGTGAGCAGCTGAGCTCTAGCTCTATCTCTGAGCCTTAAAATAACTAGCACAGCAGCTGATTATATTTAGATATGGCAGAGGGAAAGGAGGTGATGCTGTTACTGCCCAGGAGGTGCATAGGCAAAGTTAAAGCTCTTGGGCCTTAAATGTCAGGGCGTTTTTTGACTCCATAGCCTTGCTCAGTTGGGAGTTTGCATCTTCTTTCAGCAGTCATTGAACAAAGATTGTATACAGTCTAGAGAACAGACTAGAACCAAAGTTGTTTGTTTTCCATAGAAATACCATAATATCTAAACTACAAAGTTGTTCTTGTCTTTGTTTTTACTTAAGCCACACAAATCTTGTGTTTTGAGCTGTACTATTTTCTAGTGTGTATCCTGATGGCTAGTACACTTCAGAAGGACTTGTTGAAGATTTATGGGTTTCAGAAGTTTATTTGAAGTTATTTTATCTTTTAAGGTTCTTAGAAACCTCTCTCTTCTGGTGGGTGTATACTTATGGTATTGTAATATTATGTAAAAGATGTAAATAGTTTATAAATAGTTGCTCCTGTAAAAGCCCAGAAAGTTACATATGTCTTGTTGCAATTGATTACTGTGATATACTTTTATCTTTATTCTTTTTGCTTCTAAAATTGTTTATTCAGCTGAGTGCATCTTAAAGATATTTTGAAACTTGACTTCAAAGTTGAGTGACACAGTAAGGCATAAGGACTGAAAGTACTGGCAGAGGATTTGGCAGGTTATTAAAAGGCAAGTTCAGAGACCTGAGGAAGTCTGGTAAAAAAGAGAGTAAGTAAACTAAGAATTAAGAAAGATATTGTATGTTAACACTGTGTATTTCCAGTATTTGTAGAAAAGTAATGGAAACAGACTATTTGTACTTTAGGATGGGAATGAAAGTCACATTTTTTGCTCCCACTATGAAGTGTCACTTTCAGAGTAATAATAATTTGTTGTTTCTGAGAGACGTAAGCAAATACTTCCTTTTAAAATGTGTAACTGGGTCATAGAGTGGAGAGAATTAAAACAGTGTGGGAATTAAATTTAAAGCTGCTCTTAAATTAGAGCAAATTAAAATGAAAACCTTATTTAATTGATTTTAAACACTTCTGGATCAAGCTGTTTATTTCTTTCTCTGAAGCCTTTCATGCTACATCTACAGATCTAATTTCAGTGATTGATTACTGTGATTAAATGATAAAAGCATTTTTGTAAACTCTTGACCTCAATCTGTGCTATAGTCTAGGAAGCCTAGCTTCTAGTTGCTGTTTGTAACTTAAAGAAATTAGAGGAGGCAGAAACCATTTTATTCATCTGAAAATATACTGATACGTGATAATGGAAGAATATTATTAAAATCAGTTACATGCTTTTATCATAATTCTGGAAAGCATTTTCAGATCAAGTCCTTAAAAATACCTACAAAACACTGAAATAAAGATGTGGTAGGTAGGAATGACTTTGGTTTACTGTCTTTCCAGGTGAGTAAGTCAGGAAAAATTATTAATAGCTTCAAGTATTCTCAGAATTGCCGTAAGACCACACCATTTCATCTCCTGCCATATGCTTTTAATTTTAAATAAAAGCATGTAATACTCTGAAAGCATGGACACATGCCTTATTAATAACAACAACAACAACAACAACAACAACAAAAAGGCTTCTGATGTGTGATGGCAAGTGTGGTGGGGGTTTGAACCCAGAGATTCAATAAATTCCAACAGGTGAAGATACTAAATTCACAGTCAATTCTTACATATTTATCTGTCCATTATGAATTCTTTTAACTTTTGACTAGAGTCAAAACCTGCACATTAAAATTCCAGTCCGTAGTTTTTTCTTCAGGCTAGATAGATACATGAATCTCTCTTCCCTCTAGTTATGACTGTATTAGAAACTGTGTCTGTATATAGAATAATAATAGGTGAAGGGATTTTATCAGTAGTTATTCATTGGTCTATCTCTACTTCCTGTCTTGTCTGAATGTATTCATTTTTTCATATGCTGGTTTTAAACTGACTCTGGTAACGTTGAAAGTGTAAGTAAGTACTATATGTAAGTCTATAAACACCTATCTTTCTTCTATCTAATTGGATGAAACAAATTGCTTAACCACTTCCAAACTAGATGCTAATAATTGGAATCTTGTATTGTAAAGATGTAATCTAAGGAGGTGTTTTTTTTCCAATTATGCTTTTATTCAAAGGGAACGTTTTTCACTGGTAAAGGAATGGCAAGGTTACAAATACAGTATCTCTGACAGCGATAATTAACCATAAAGACTGAAACTTGGAGATAACAAACAACTGCATATGGACAGTTGAATTAAAAACTTGGAGTATAATACATTTCTAGAAAGTTTTCCAGGTATTCATGCTCAGTTTAAAATTAATGTGTATGTATTAATCCTTTATATGGGTCTGCTTATTAGACCAAATTATCTCTTCCTAATCATTGTTAGTTGTCACTTGTCAGAAGTAAGGTTGGTTAAAGGACTTCTTTTAAATGTAAGATTGATGAGCACCCTGTAATTGAGCAAATCTAAAAAATAGAGGCAAATCCAATTATTCTGAATATCTGGAGTAAGATATTAATCATTTAGATGTCCCCTGTATAACTGTAAATGAATTAGCCTAAAATTGACAGAATGAGATGTACGAAATTAAGCAGTAAATATTTAATTCTAATTGCAAAGGTGTGCTAAAATAAAACTGTGATAAGTCTTCAGTCTTTCTTTGGTGTTAACCCTTGCTTATAGTAATTCAGCCTTATTAAATTTAGCTTTGCTGCATAGATGTCTTTGGTCAGAAGGCTCCAAATTGTAGACAACTCTACACTTTATTGAGTATCATTCTTAAGCTGTTTGGGACAAAGCTTTGCAGGTAGCATACAAGTTAGATGCTAATGTGTGAATGCCTAAATATTAAAAGTGCTGCAAGTAGCATGTGAAGGATATGCTAGTCTTAGTTCAGGGTTCTTCTGCTTTGCCTCTTCTCCATACTTAAGCTGAATTGTTCAATATTGACTGTTGCACATTTGCATAGCACTGTAGCATCAAGTTGAAGGTTTTACCATCGTAGCAGTGTCTGCCTTTATGTATAGTTTTCCTATAGGTTTTCAGGGACATTTTTTTCTCATTTTAAGGGTGCTGATAATCTTCATTATTACAGGGAGAGTTTTTTCTGATGGTGTGAATCTTCAAAATTTGGTTCAAAATAATAGGAAGGTCATAAACTTGCTCTTGGTAACTGTCGTATGTAGCAGAAATAAAACATGGAGGTAGATACTGTGATTCTAGTGATGCTCATGTATTAAAGCCCTAAATAACATAAGAACTCAACAGGCAGCTCATAGGCCAAATTCAGACCTCAGGAGTTCTTCCAAGAAAGAACTGAACAGCTGAGGAGGCAGCAAACAGCTGATTTCTCTTCTCTGTGCAACCAGTAAGGCACTGCAGCTGTCCCTATTGCAGCCTTTCAAAAGAAAGGCCCATGCACTAGAATTCCTCCTCCCATGCCGAGATGTCACACGTGGGAGCTCCCGTATCAGCACAGCCCTGGGAGTGGACTGGAACTGAGAAGGATCAGGGAATATATAATGGGGCTAATGTTATATAAGACATACACACATATATATAGTTTCTGGTTTCCATTATTGCTCATTATTATGTAATCAAAATCTAAAATCCTATATTAATGTTTTATTTCAGTGCTTATTTTTTCTCTTATATTGAGTCAAGTGGGAATCACTTGACTGCGCACATGAAAAAAATAAGTTTGCACACAAAGGCAACTAGTTATAATATGTGCAGCTTTCAGTGGAACTCTGAACATAGCTCACCTTGAAAACTAGATGGAAGTTTAAAGCACTGAGCTTCTTTACATACACAGATATGTGGAAGGTGTCTGTATTTTGGGGGCAAACCTGAAGACTGTCTCCCGCCACCAAATGAGTGCTTTTTGTTTTTTCCTCTAGTTAGAAGTTGCTGTGTGAATGCATATGTTTGCTTTTTAGAGGTAGATATTTTGAAATTGTTTCTAAGTGTTGTAGATAATTCCTACATAGTAATGGTAAAATCCTTATCTAGTATATTATCAAGAGATAATGGTCTGAAAATACATGAGGAAAAGGAAAGTCATGTTCATTCTCAGTCAAAAAAGGAGGAAATATTTATAGATAACTAAATGTATGAGAAATTAGTATTTTCAGCAGAAACTACTATTTCAAGAGTATATTTTAGTTGGCTGATGCTGTTCAAATACTAATGGTAGGATATATCTTTCAAAATTTTGTCCAGAAGTGCAAACAAAGTTGAGAATCAAATTGAATCATTTCAGGGTTAAAGGTGAGTTTGTAACTTAGTTCCGTACTATAAACATAACATTTTTAAAAAAAAACAAAATGGTGTAGAAGACACCTGAGTCATAGTCTTAAGTCAAAGAATTTGTTTAGATGCTACGTATCTAGTAAGTTATTAACTTATCGTGCTTTTCAAATATGCTTTTAGAGGAAATAAGAAGAATTTAATGCTGGTATCAAAGTCAAAATAATTTGAAGGCATAGGTAAAAGAAATGCCAAGGAATTGCCTTGGAAATTGACAGGAAGGAAGGCTCAGCTTTAATTATAAAGCTAATAATAGCTAGCTTGTAAATAGGGGAAAAAATATGTATGCTTCCACTGAAGTGATGTGTTTCTGTAAATTCCACTTAAAGCTCAAAACGTAAAAGAAGTTTAATATTGCAGTTTGTGTTTAAACCTTGTTTTCTCCCATCTTTCTCACCAATAGTAATTGTTTTCGGTAGCTTTAGAATTTCATTATTTTTGTTACCCTGCAAGTTATTTTTCTAAGGTAAGCAGTAACACTGAATCTTTAAAAAAAATTTTAATAAACAGATTTGACCTTTATATATGACTTATAGTAGTGAATCTAAACCTATGTGTATGTGCTTGTAGGTATAGTTAACATTTGCTGTAGCTTAACATTGAGTTTTTAATTTTACTAGGCAGGCTTGTATTCATCTTTCAAAAGGGGCCGCATGGATATAAATCAGTCCCACAAGGGACACTACATCTATGAATTTATTTTTTTTCCCTCCACAAGATAGCTCGCCTGTAGGGCACTTCTCAGTCTTCAGCATCTGTTTAGGGTTTGGGATTTTTTTTCTACCTGTTGTTTGTCTTGTCTTTCTCTTGTTAATACAGAAGGGTGAAGGAAAGTGGCATTTCCCTGCTCAGTGCCACTTTGATTAATCTTCCATTTTTCTCACAGTGCAGTTAGTGTTATGTTAATGTTTGTCCAGTTTGTGATGTTTTGAAAGGTATTAAATGCACACTACCAAGGAAAGGGGGCGGGGAGGGAAAGGTAGTAAATAAACTTCTTGTGTCTATCCATTCACAAGGCTTATAATGTATACTTGAACAATACTCTGCACGTAGAGTGTAATTTACAGCAAGCTTGAAAATCTTTTGTCTTTTTAATAATTATCATCTAATAATTTCTGGCAATTTAAAAAATGGGAATAGAAAGAAAGCATCTTTGTAAAACCTCCTCCAATTTTTTTTTTTTTAAGTGTATGTCAAGATGATAAAAAAGAGAAATTGAAACCATTTGCTTAGCTCAGGTTGTCACCTTACCTTATATTGGGTAACCTGATATGATACTTAGGTAATACATAAAATGAATGTGAGCACTTAACAATTTCAAGTTACGATTATGAGTTCTCAGATAGAGATAATACAATGTCCTAAATATTGCAGATCACCTCATTTCATTTTGGCTGGACGTTAATTCAATATACTCATGCTTCTAACAGTGAAATAGCAAAAAGTGGATTGTTCATATTAAGCTTCAATCAAATTCATCCATATGTCAGAAAAATAAAGGCCTAATTTGTGTATTTTTCACAGAAGCTCAAGAAATGTGGTTATAAGGTTTTGAAGGAAGTGTTTAAATATGACATTTTACTTTTGAGACATCTTACAGAGGACAAAATCCTGCATTTTTCCCATTGCAGGTTCTGAAATATTAACTTGGCAACAGGCAAGGAAACTGATTTACTTTGGTGTCAGAAATGTTTTGCCCCTCTCTAACTCTTTCTGAAATGGGTGGAGCAGATATATGAATGTTGTGGGATATGATTCTTATAAGTAGCAAATTATCTGAAACACACCATAGAAACCGAGAAAATTAAAAATTTTCCTAGGAGAAATGCTTGTATGAGTGCATTTGTGTGACTGCATCCTGAAGGCACTGGAAGCTGTTAAGCTACAGAAAAACACCTTACTGTCACTCCGGAACAGCAATATGTTCAAGGTCATCAGAAGTGGTTTTGGTTATTGCCTTGGGCTCTGACATGCTTAGCTAGCTTTACAGAACATTGTCTGCTCCATCTCCTGGCTCTGCCCCAGAAACAGAGGAAGAAACTTCATCTGTTCCCATTGCCACAGCAGGGATGGATTCTAGTGGGCTCCCAGGACACAGACCTGCCAAAGAATCAGACTCCTGGTTGGTAAAATCTGAAGGTTTTCATGGTTCCAGTGAGAGTGGTGATGTTAGAGTATCAGAGACAGCATATGATGCTATTAGTCACCAGGGTGCACATGTGAACCTTGTGTCTCCCACTGACTAATGGGCACGTATTACATAAATTCTGAAGAAAGGAGGCTTTGCTATACTAGACCTGGGGCTCTGGTCTGTTTGTTTCTTGTTTCAGTATTACAACCTATCTTTCTGTCTGTATTTGTTATATGTCAGCAAATACCCAATTTAGTTTGTCTTATCCTATTTTTACTGTGCTAGTAGGTTCAGTTTTGTGCTTTCTATTTTGCTTTGAAGCAGTGGAAAAATACCAATAGAGATTTAGGATTTAGTTTCATCTTGAATTCGTTTAAAACATCATGCAACATGTGAGAAAATGTATTAATGGTGCTGAGGTGGGAATAGGTTATCATAAAATAATGAAAAGGCGCTGACACTTTTTAAGTAGCGCTTAAGCTGAAGGACTATGGAGAGATTAAGGAAAATGGCAAATAAGCATGCTTGTTCTTGTTTCAGAGTAAATTAAAAGTATGTTCAATCTTTTGCACTGATGGTTAATGAAATTATTCCTG